CAAATAAAGTGTTATCTCACCGTCTGGTTCCTCTGCCCAGTATTGTGAATGAGTGATATTTTACTGTGTAATTTGCAGTAAGCATGACTGTGACTTTGTATGTGTTTTGGGGTTCTGAGTTTCAAACTCATTCTGACTTAGTATTTCTATGTCCATTATTTTGTGAAGCGCCATATTGGGTTGATTATGTCCAAAAAGAAACAGCGCAAATTGCACCTCAATATCGGTTTTGCTGGCAATCCCTTTTAACCTTAGTCTGGGACCAGTCATTTACCAAATGACAGGAGTGGCAAGGAGTGGAATGTTAGCTAAAAATACTGGTACCCAGGCTATATAATAGCCTACACTGGGGTTGAAATGTGACATAATGCAAACACAATGTGACGTTCTCAGCTACACAGTGTGTGAGCGTGTGTGAGTCAATCCAACTTACAGTGTCATCAATAAGATGACATCTAGTTAATGAGGGCTTCTGCATAGTGGTACTTCTGAATCTTTCCTACATATATTTAGATGTGTTTTTAGTGTATGCAATTGCCTGGTTCATTTGGACAATAGATATAAAAGTGTTTTCTTTGCCTTTAATTTATTTCTGAAAAATACTTTGGAAAGAAAAAAAGCTGTGAGGTCTTTACATTATTAAGCTGTTAATGTATATTGAACCCTTGTGTCAATCACCTTATGTCAGCTCAATGCTGTTTTTGGCGAGAGTACCCTGCCTGAGCATGTTCGAATACAGTAAGTGAAAATGAAGGACTGAAATGTGTTTTATGTGCCACCTGGACTAGGCCCCCCCCCCCACAAAAAAGACAACCAACCAAGAAAAACATTGCATCCAAATAAGAGGTAAACACTGGTATCCAATAAAAAAGGCAACAATATCGAATCACTACCACTCTTGTGTTTTGTTTTCAATCATCTTTGTTCTCAAATGATTCCATTGCTTTGTAGTTCAATGGGGCTATGGTCCCCTTCACTTACAGATGGGCAACAGCTGTTATTGTAGCTAATGGTCATTAGTTAACCAGCACACCTTTAATTGATTGATCTACAGCAGGTGGGTCTCGTTAATCCATTGTGCCTCAGGAAGCCTATTGTAGTATATCCTCGTACAAACCATCATGATCTCGCGAGCTACACGGATAGTGAAACAGAATGTAAACTTGCGAGATCAGGATGGTTCGTACGAGGATAGTTGTAGTAGGGCCTGCTGTTCAACTCAAGGCAAGCCTAGGGGAGATGGGCTTGTACAACTACTAACCTATTTTGCAAAGGATCTTTTCATTTGCCTTGTCATTGCGGGATATGGGTAATTCCATGTAACTGAATTATGCTGAGATGACGATTTTTCACTTTAGAATGTAGTATGCCAAACAAAAAACGTTTATTTCAAAGTTTAATAAGACATACAACTCTATGCACAATGACTACTTTGAACAATTTACACAGTACATAAAAATAAATAAATAATTTACTGGAAAAACTGTGCAGATGCAAAGTCTACCTCAGTTTTATTCTGTTACCAAACATTTCTTCCAGCAAATGTGTTTTGTCAAATTCTCAGTGGAAATTGTTAAAAGTAGACCTTGTACATAGAGTTGTATGTTTTGTTAAACTTTGAAATCAACGTTTTTTGTTTGGTATACATTTTAAAGTGAAAAATCTGAGTCTCAGCGTAATTCCGTTACCATGGAATTATTGCACATATGTAATCTTGTCCACCAGCTGGCTGTCTCTCTGTCTAACCTATGCAGTAGCAATTGAGCCTGGGGACGAAGTTATGTGATTTGCCGCAACAGAGCTGAACCACAAATCATGCCTGATGTCCACCAGATGCATATGTGTTTTGTTTTGCCGGATGTCTAGCCTGCATTTTCCGTACTTGACGCACATGTGCTTTGCTTTCCAACTCGCTAAAAGCTAGCTAGTTGGAGTCTGTGTGTACTTCTGTACCACCTCACAGTAAAGCAACGCACAAGTTGAAAATATTAAAGGCATGCGGTACACCAGAAGCATAGAAATGGTGCGCATAGAACAGCTCTACCACTTATTAGACTTGCTTTCTATGAGAATGACAGATCTACAACTCACATTTCTATGTGAATTTGGTCAGGTCACCCAAAAAGTGACATAATGCAGTTTTAATGTTCCAACAGGCGCCTGATACAATTTGCTAAGATGGCTAAGAGGCCAAATGGCTCAGAGGTAAGTTGTTCTTCTGAGTTTCAACATTATATAGTCATTCTAAATGACGTATACAAACATGCATCATTACAGACATTGGGTGATATGAGACTGAAAACACTTTCAGCATGATAGGAATAGAGAGAGAGAGAGAGAGAGAGGAGAGGAGGAGAGGAGAGA